GTTCGTTTTATTTCAATAATAATGTTTATTTATATTTTTGCCTGATTTCCTTATTTTTTTAGGTTAACCCAACCTTGATTCCTCACATTGTCTAGAACTGGTAAGGCGTTTGTTGAGTCGCCATTTTTTTCTTTGCTTATCTTTAATAGAAATATCATGTTTTGTAACAGGTATGCAGGATAATAAGGACCTACGCCTGATATTAACTCCCCTGCAGGTTTTTAATGTTTTATATATATGTTTATTTTGTATTCACCCAGATACCTTCAACCATAGGCGTAGCCAGGATTTTCATAAGGGGGGGGGGAATTAAAAAATTTCCCCAGCCTTCGGCAGGGTTACTTTAGTCTATATATAGTCATAAAATATTTTTACAAATTTTAATAAAAAAAATAAGCCTGGAACAAATATGAAATATAGTTTTATTAGTTTATATAACATAAAAATATAATAAATTACTTGTATTGTATATACCTTAATATAAGAGCATGGTAATAATTTATTCCAAACAATTATAAGAAATTAAAAAGTAAGTAGACATATAGTTGATTTTACTCTATTATATAGAATTAGCAGAGTTGGGCAGGTCCTCCGGAAAAAGAATCTAGATACAGATACAGATTCTTTATAAAAATGAATCTTAGATACAGATACTACTATCTTTTTCAAAATATCAAAAGATACAAGATAAAAGATACTTGTATCTTTTGCTAAATTAGAGTATCTTAAATACAAGATACTTTTAAATTTTCATTACCAATTAAATTAGAATAGTTTATAAATAGAGTTTTTATTATTTATTTGTGAAAAACATAACATACGCATATAAGAATGAATATTTACAATAATTAATAAAATATTTATTAATGAGTTAATTATTATAATATAATAATAAGCATTTTAATATTAGTTTTTGCCCATTAATAACATAAACACGGAAATATATTTAATGGGATTTGAAAATTTGCAAATAAATAAAAATTAAATCAAATTATTTTTTAAAATAATCAATTTTTCAAATAATTTATCATTAAGTCTTTGTCGTTTTGGCGTATTTAACATTGTGCCAAAACTAAATAACCTATCAACAGGAGCTGATGAGGGTATGTCAGTATAATATTTTTTTTAAATTTCCTTAATTAAAGGATAAATTTAAGCATTTCGAGTGTTTTTCGCCGGTCTTTAATATAATTTAAAACCTCAAGCTCAACGTTGTTTGTATTATTGAATTCAACAATTTTAAATTTGATCTATATTTTAGTAATGAAGTGATTCTATCATACAAACTGTTCCACCTCGTTACGCATGGAAAACTTTAGCTGATAACCACCTGTCATCTCCCTTATCTTTTCAGAAGATTTGGGCCTTCCACATGCATTCCATAATTTTGTACATTTCCCCATTACTCCATAATGAATCCTTCCAAGATTCTTTGAGCTCGATATTGATGAAATAATATCTTTAGTTGCTATTAAGGACAAAGTGTGGCAGGCACACCTGATGTGCCTGGGTAATATTATTTTGTTTATATCATCTAAAGATAAAGATTTTTAAAATATTTTAAAAAATTTGTAGTAACCATCATTGATTTCATTAAACTCTAATAGATCATCCTCATCCTCAAAATCATTGTCAAGAACATTTAATTTCACACCATATTCATTAAATGACTTGACAAAATTGGATGCATTATCTGTGACGGTAGCAATTAGTTTATCAGAAATTTCATACTCTCTATAGACTTCTTCCAATAACTCAGCAATTTTATCAAATGAATGGGTGCCGGGCATTCTTCTACATGCCAAGGCTCTTGATTGAAGGGTTTCTCGTGTTATCTTTAAAAATAATTTATTTAAAAAAATTAAATAAGATATTAATATTACCCAGTGAGCTGTTATTCCCATAAAACTACGGGTTTTTGTAGACCACAAATCTGCCGTGGTGCATATATATGATTGAGCTTTTAAAGTACTTCTTAAAGTATGTACATGATTTTCAAAATTTCCTCTATTCTTCTCTGCAAAGACCTCCTCGAAAAAATTTTAAATGATCCAATGTTACTAAGAATATCTAGAGTATCATATCAATATTTATCTATATATAAATTATCTAACCTTCCATCATTGTAACAAATTCAGGCTGTTCAACTAGGCTCAAAGGGTGTAAACCCTTGACAGTAAATGCACATATCAATTTATCAATTTTTTTTGGGGTAATTGTCGGTTTTATTTTATTAATTACATTAAAGGATTCTGATATACTATGTTGAATCATTTTTTTTATGATATTAGAATTTGCTGGTTTTTTTCTGTGCTGTTTTAAATATAGCTTGTATTCAGCATATATGCCTAAATGGCATCTCTAATAAAAAAAATATATATACTAGTTTAGTTTTATTTTATTCATTATCTTTAATAAGTATTTATCATTACTTGTTTGTGAATTATGATATTTATGTATTTTTTAAATTAGTTTTATTTTCTAATATATTATCCTGTGTTTGTAATATCATATTTAGTTAATTTATCATTTTATAAATATCATTTGAATCTCTTTCAGATTTTTTTAAAATATATCTTGCAAAATCATTACTACTTTATTATAATTATTTTATTAAGAGCCATTTAAAATTATCTAATGTTATATATCAATTGTTGCTTAAATATTTCCTATAATAAGAGAACTTTATGGTAGAATTTAACTTTATTAGTTACTTTTATTTATTTATAATATAAGTACAATTATATTACAGTATTTATTTACAAAATTTAATCAATTTAAAATGTATAAAAGAAAAATTGTTTTGAGTAATATAATAATGTACACCATTTTACATATTTTATATATATAAGTAATGATTTTGCAAGAAAATTATCTCATCTTATATATCAATTGTTGCTTATATATTTCCTATAATAAGAGAACTTGCTAAAATAATAATATAAAACAAATATATATCCAAAATTATTTTAATTTGTTAATCAACATCTTCTATAAAAATCCTTTAAATAACAATTATCTAAAGGGACTTAAGGAGGTATTATTATGTCAATAATTAAATTATATATAATAAAAAATATACCTACCTTAATGTGCTTAACAAAATTTGTTGAGGAATTTGTTGAGCCTTTTAAAATTTTTTTACTTGGGCAAATTTGGCATTCACCGTGAACCTTGTCCTTTTCCACTAGAAAAACTTTAAAAAATTTTCCATCTAGAATTTTAAGATTCGGATTTGATTCAGGAGAACCTATTTCCATAATTTCATCTTCACTAACTTCTTCATGATTGTTATTGTTAATCATTCTACAAATTAAAAAATATTACATATAAAATATATATTCTTTACTTATCTAGTTTTGGTGTTGTTATTTTTAATCTTTCTATCTTTGTGAACTGTAAAATTTCCAGCTAATTTTGGTTATCGATATATTTAAAATAAGCGGGAAAAAAATAAGGAAAATAATACATGATTCCACGAAGAAAATAAAGTTATATTCTGTGATATGTAAATGTTTTAAACATGAATATTAAAAAGAATCTGTATCTTTTGTCAAGAAAATGAAAAAGATACAAGATTCTTTTCAAAATAAAGGATCTTAGATACAGATACTAGTATCTTTTTAAAAATGTCAAAAAGATACTGAGTACAAGATACAAAAGGATCTTGTATCTTAGATACAAGTATTCGCGGTACTGCCCAACTCTACATCTAGGATAATAGATTGTAAGCAATATGGGTTAAATGATGCCCCCATCGGTAGTACTCGGTATTGATAGTTGCTATTATTGAATTTAAATTCGAAAAATTTTCATACCTGAACAGCCAAAGGAATTGAGAAAAAGGCTGACCGGATATCAATTTTGCAAGCAAAAGAGGCCTGATCCAATTTGGCTGACATCAATGGGATGGACTTGAGCCTAAATGGATAGTGGAGAAAATTCTTAGATACTTCTGGGAAGTCATTGATAACTCGTGGTGAGCCATCTCCCTTTGGTATGATGAATAACGGGGAGCAGATCTGGTCGTCGTCTGCAGGCTCGATGACATTAGCTGTGATCAGCTGTCTCACGATATCATGATATTTGTTATGTACACCCTCGCGGTTTGGATGCTTAAAGTATTGATTATTATTATTGTTTATTTTGGTATGATCTACGCGCGGGCGAAAACCCCTTTCAGCGACACGTCTGGTGAAAGGAGACATTAGGGGCCCGACAGTGAGTCTGGCTGTACTAATGTTGAGACTTGGTCGGCTGACCAGCTGTTCGTCCATAAAGGTACTCCTAGGCCCGTTAACCACAATACCGTGAAGGATGGGTGTAATGTTTTAAAAATACTCCATTTTTTTATATACTCCAATATTTAGTGATATTGACGTTTATGACTGACGTGCATATATTAAATATTACATTTTTAGTGATATTGACGTTTATGACTGACATATAAATATTAAATATAATAAATTTAGTCAATTGGCATTTATAACTGACGTATGAATAATAAATATTACCTATGATATTTAAGGCAATTAAAAATACTCCATTTTTTTATATACTCCTATATTTAGTGATATTGACGTTTATGACTGACGTGCATATATTAAATATTACATTTTTAGTGATATTGACGTTTATGACTGACATATAAATATTAAATATAATAAATTTAGTGAATTGGCATTTATAACTGACGTATGAATAATAAATATTATTTTTTCTATGTCCTATGATATTTAAGGCAATTTTGCCTTATTCTCTTTAGAAATTATTAGATTTAATATTAAGTGTTAAAAATTTATATATTTATTTAAGGTTTAATTCGAAAATATCAAAGATTAACATATAAATCTTGCACTATCTATTATCACGTTACTGCTCAAAGTTAGAAACAATTTTCAGAATAATTTATTAAAATCCTTTATTTAATTTGTAAATATAAAGATAAAAAAATCAATTAATAATATATGCTATATGCGATATAAATAATATATGCTATATGCGATATAAATATTAATTAAAATTAATTATGCGATCAATATGTTCGCTATGATTTATTAAATAAATATTTACATTAAATTTTTTAATATTACTTAATTTTTTAATGGGCATATAGTATGCCCATTTATAAATAGTATGTATTAAAATATTTGTCTGGAGCATAGTTGTCATTGCAACTATCTCCACCTCTGTACCATAAACGGCATTTTGAGCCATGCCCGTCCTCTCCGGCGGGGCACCTATTAAATTAAAAAATTGATTTTATCAAATCTTAAAAATGTTACCAAAAGGTCGAATGTCATCAGGCTCTAGCATTTTCGATGCTTTTTCTGGTGTCTTAACTCCATCATCTAAAAAAATATGTATATTAGATTTTTTTTATTATACCTTTTTTGTTTATACAATTATAATCCTCTCCAACTATCGAATTTAGTATATTCATAACTAGATATTTTCAAAAAGGATTTAATATTAAATATATGAAAATATTACCCTTCATATGATTTTCTTCCGCATTAAGCTTTAGATTTTTAATAGCTGGTTCTTGAAAATTTTCATCATCATCTAAAAAAAGGAATATTATTTAATAATAAAATCCATTGTATACCTTTTATGGTACTAGAATGAAACTTTTCACTTGACCTAGGAACTGTTTAAAGTTATTTAATAAATTTTTAAAAGTATTAACATTTTTTCTGTCCTGATTTAATTGTGTCATCTTGATAAATATATAAATATATAATTAATTTTTTTAAAACTATACCTTTTCTTGTAACATCTAAAAAATAATATTGAAAAATAAAAAATAACAAAGAAAATATTTAATGAGAATTTGTGTTGTGATGATTTAATGACACATATTGACGATTAAATTTAAACCCATTCATGTATAATTATATTGCTAGCAGAAATAATTAAAATAACACATTTGTATTTATGTACATTATGTATAGATATTGATAATTAATATTAAGATGGGTATTTGCTGTTTTGATAATTGAGTTTGAAATGTTTAACCATGAGTCATTATTGTTGATTTGATTCAAATTATGTAGAAAATTATTTGCTGGGGTTGGTAAATTAAGATTAGAGATATTATATTTTTTAAGGATTATAGGAGTATATTTGTTTGAGGGTTTGAAGTATGTGTGATATTTATTGTTTCTTTGTTTATAAAAAGTTGATTATTTAAAGTAGCAAAACCAATAAGAGAATTAGTGATTTCATTACATAATTTCATGTTAAGGTCTCCTCCAATGATGATAAAGTGATTTTTATTGATATCTATAAAATATAAAAGATTAAATAGGCCTGTTTTCCATTCAAATAAAGATATGGCATTCCATTATTTCTCGGAGATGGCATTTTAAAGGCAAATATTTTAAATGTATCTTGAAGAAAATATATAAAACAATTTAACATCAGCCATTTTCCCGCAGACGATTTTTTCATCTGGTACCAAGCATCATGCACATATTTTTAACACAAAAATATGATTCCGCCTTTACAAGCCATAAAGCGACAATTTGAGATTGTCCATGACTATCTATTACAAGTAGAATAAACAGTGGCATACCTAGATTGTTTAATTTGTAGGTAGCATCAATGAATATCACCTCAGGATAATATTTAAGATAATGGAGCATGCTAGCATCTTGAAAGTAAATGCCCAACAATTCACTATCATTTTCTAGGATTTCCACCACAGCTCCATTATCTTCCCTGAGTTGATTTATTACATCAAGTAATACATTATCAGATGGCTTGTTTAATTTGGCTGAAATATTATGAATATCTCTCAGAGTCATCATCTGACCTGAATTAAGAACATATTCTTGTATTTTCACCTTATTAGCTTTAAAAGTGATAGCTTGCTCCACAATTTGTTTTTTTATTGGAGAAAGCCTTCTTTGTTTAGAGAGCATCTCATATAGTTTTTTATCTTGATTATATAAATCATGTTAGTTAAAAATCAAATAAATATGTCTAACCTAGATCATGGTTTTTATGATCTTTTACAAATGTGACAATATCTAAAGAATACACATTTAGTTTATCACACTGAAGAAAGACTGTGAACATAAAAATACATTCCTTGCGAAGACTAGATGAGGATCTTATACCTCTAGACTTATTTTTTTTTCAGTCCATATTTACATATATAATAAACTCGATTATATTTATATTGAGCTATAAATGCTTTGCTATAAGGTTCCTTTAATAAGTCTGATTTATTAATAACTATGTTAAAAAAAAATTCTTTTTCATATATAGATATGGCATCGTTTAATTCATGTATAGAATTAAATTTAGTATTAAGATATAATGACATAATTAAAATAAATATATAAAACTATAGTGTAAAATATATTAATATGAACCTGTTTTTAAATCTTTAGCTTCTTGAATCAATGATAAATCTTTAGCTTCTTGAATCAATAATAAATCTTTAGCTTCTTGAATCAATGATAAATCTTTAGCCTTCTTTTATTTTCTAAAATAAAATAAAATTTATAATGTAAAATATATTAATATGAACCTGTTTTTAAATCTTTAGCTTCTTGAATCAATGATTAGCTTCTTGAATCAATAATAAATCTTTAGCTTCTTTTATTTTCTAAAATAAAATAAAATTTATAATGTAAAATATATTAATATGAACCTGTTTTTAAATCTTTAGCTTCTTGAATCAATGATTAGCTTCTTGAATCAATGATTAGCTTCTTGAATCAATGATAAATCTTTTCTTTTATTTTCTAAAATAAAATAAAATTTATAATGTAAAATATATTAATATGAACCTGTATTTTTAAATCTTTAGCTTCTTGAATCAATAATAAATCTTTAGCTTCTTGAATCAATGATAAATTTGTAGCTTCTTTTATTTTCTATAATAAAATAAAATTTATAATGTAAAATATATGAATATGAACCTGTATTTATTTTTTAAAATGGAGTTTAAAAAAGGCGCCAACGGGGCAAATATCCTTTACGACCTAAAAAATTTGACTGGAAATTCAAAAAAATCGCCTCAGCATCATCAGCTCCAGAATAATGTTTCTTGATTGACATGAGCACTTTTTCAAAAAAATATCATTATAAAAATTACATTGATCTAAATATACTCTGATATGTAAATACATTATAATCGAACAATATGATCTGAAAATACTCCACAAATAAGCTTAAAGGAGTATATAAAAAAATGGAGTATTTTTAAAACGTTACACCGGGTATGTTGGGTGATAAGGAGGACCCCACCTGGGGCATACCAGGATCGTTATCGTCGCTGTAGATGGAATCTTGCAGAGCCGTAACGATGGACTGAGCTTCACTGCCATCTGCCGAGCTGCTCGAAGGTAGCGAATCGGAAAGGGGACTTCTAGTCCACCATTCGTGAATTCCGGAGTCTTCTGAAAGAAAAGACGGGATGTCCGATTCAGAGAGTGGGCTAACGATGGGATTTATGCGCACAGGGTTTTGATTGTCGTCTACTGCGGAATCCGGCGCGTCACTGTTTCCTTCAGTGTTATCTGGAGAGAACATCTGATGCCTCAGCTCCCTTAAGAATTTGTTTACTACGGTTAGCCAATTAGGGAGCTGCAATGTCCTCGCCCTTCGAGCCGGTGGTCCGTTGCTCGGGCCGGTAACCCCTGGAAGTACCGGCGGGTTGATAGAAGAAGGAGGGAGAAGAGATAAGGGTAGCGAAGGAGAAGATGATAGAATAGGTACGGAAGGAGCGGAACTTGTCTCACTTCCTTTTCTTGCCCCTGGCGGGGGCCGCCTCCTTCCTTTCGGGGCGTCTGCGATAACCGGAGGTGGAGGGGCCGGCACGGCCCCTGTATCGAAAGGGCACTGGGTCCTGGTCACACAAGAATTTTTCTTGATAGCATCGTTGTTTCTGGCGGTCTTCCAATTCCAGTGAATGGCTAACGCTAACACTCGGATTCTTTTGGTTTGGATTTTCAGCATTCTAATATCGGATTCGGTGACAGAATTTCGATAACCTCAGCAATGTGCTTGATCTCGTGGCGATCTCTATCGTTGGCCTTGCATTTTGGCTCGAGTAGATCCTGTTGGAGACCCGCCCAGACTTTCATCAGTCTATCGTAAGCTTCGGCTGAGGTTGCTGGCAGCTCAAGTTGCGCTGGCGGTGGCGGCGGTGGTGGCGGCGCAGGAAGGTTTTGAGCGGTAGACACCGGGGGCTCCCTATTTCTGGGGGTAGACGTAGGGTGAGGGTGTTCTCTCACGGTGTCGTTCCTGTCGTTCGACACGAGTAGACAGGGCTGCCATTTGCTCCGATATGGCTTGCATGGCGGATATGATGGCCATTGCACTCGGGTCGGCAGGTGCGGCTTCCACGGAATTGTCCCATTAATTATTATATAAGAAAAACTCACGTTTTCAAGTGAAGAATATCTGGCAACCCTGCATACACATCACATTTGGCTTGGGTAGGTAATTTTCCATTGAAAATGGAACACATGTTTTTCCCCTCAGTTGCTTATTAAAATATGGACCTTTTAATAAATAAAATGTATAGTAGTGTTGCGTAATCGGCTAAAAACTACGCCTAAGCCTAATAAGGCTAAGCCTAAAAATCGGCTAAGCCTAATTAGGTTAAGCCTAAAAATTGGCTAAGCCTATATATATCTGCTAAAATTAAATTAGTCAAAATTCTGCATCGATGCTTAGTATTAATTATTATTTATTTATTTTAGTAAAATAATTTATTTTATTTATATTTAATGTAAATATTTTATTATTATCAACAAATAAACATGATATGATTTAATATTTTTTATTTATATTATTATATTTTGAAATGAAAATAAATTTATTTATTTGATGTTATTTTAATAAAAAAAATAATATGCTGCTATATTGTAAAATTGTAATATTCTTTTTAATATAATTTATTAGTGATTTTTACAATCTTCTTTATAAATACATCTTTTATTGAGGAATTATATTGTAAATTTTATTAGATAAATAAACAATCTTTTAGGTGAAATCTTTTATAATTTTTTTATCATTTAAAATTATCTATTTTTTATTAAATGAGGTGGATTTTATGAAACTTTTTTGATGATTTTATATGATCTTTTTAAGGATAATATTTTAATGTGACAATTGTCATAATCGTTATTTTATAAGTTTTTTGAATTTTTTTGAAGAAAATAGGTTAAAAAAAGTATTAATAACATGTGTAAATATAAATTTAGTGAAGATGTACCAAAGAAAAGTGACAATTGTCATAATCGTTATTTTTAAAGTTTTTTGATTTTTTTTGACGACAATATGTTAAAATAAGTATTAATAACATGTTTAAATAAAAATTTAGTGAAGATGTACCATAGAAAATTGACAATTGTCATAATAGTTATTTTTAAAGTTTTTTGAATTTTTTTGAAGAAAATATGTTAAAATAAGTATTAAAAACATGTTTAAATAAAAATTTAGTGAAGATGTACCATAGAAAAGTGACAATTGTCATAATCGTTATTTTATACGTTTTTTGAATTTTTTTGAAGAAAATAGGTTAAAATAAGTAGTAAAAACATGTTTAAATAAAAATTTAGTGAAGATGTACCATAGAAAAGTGACAATTATCATAATCGTTATTTTATAAGTTTTTGGAATTTTTTTGAAGAAAATTTGTTAAAATAAGTATTAATAACATGTGTAAATATAAATTTAGTGAAGATGTACCATAGAAAAGTGACAATTGTCATAATCGTTATTTTATACGTTTTTTGAATTTTTTTGAAGAAAATATGTTAAAAATAAGTATTAAAAACATGTTTAAATAAAAATTTAGTGAAGATGTACCATAGAAAAGTGACAATTGTCATAATCGTTATTTTATACGTTTTTTGAATTTTTTTGAAGAAAATAGGTTAAAATAAGTAGTAAAAACATGTTTAAATAAAAATTTAGTGAAGATGTACCATAGAAAAGTGACAATTATCATAATCGTTATTTTATAAGTTTTTGGAATTTTTTTGAAGAAAATTTGTTAAAAAAAGTATTAATAACATGTGTAAATATAAATTTAGTGAAGATGTACCAAAGAAAAGTGACAAATTGTCATAATCGCTTATTTTTAAAAGTTTTTTATGAATTTTTTTTTTGAAGAAAATATGTTAAAATAAGTATTAAAAACATGTTTAAATAAAAATTTAGTGAAGATGTACCATAGAAAAGTGACAATTGTCATAATCGTTATTTTATACGTTTTTTGAATTTTTTTGAAGAAAATATGTTAAAATAAGTATTAAAAACATGTTTAAATAAAAATTTAGTGAAGATGTACCATAGAAAAGTGACAATTGTCATAATCGTTATTTTATACGTTTTTTGAATTTTTTTGAAGAAAATAGGTTAAAATAAGTAGTAAAAACATGTTTAAATAAAAATTTAGTGAAGATGTACCATAGAAAAGTGACAATTATCATAATCGTTATTTTATAAGTTTTTGGAATTTTTTTGAAGAAAATTTGTTAAAATAAGTATTAATAACATGTGTAAATATAAATTTAGTGAAGATGTACCATAGAAAAGTGACAATTGTCATAATCGTTATTTTATAAGTTTTTTGAATTTTTTTGAAGAAAATATGTTAAAATAAGTATTGATAACATGTTTAAATAAAATTTAGTGAAGATGTACCATAGAAAATTGACATTGTCATAATGGTTATTTTTAAAGTTTTTTGACGAAAATATGTTAAAATAAGTATTAATAACATGTGTAAATATAAATTTAGTGAAGACAATGAAAAGTGACAATTGTCATAATCGTTATTTTTAAAGTTTTTTGAATTTTTTTGACGAAAATATGTTAAAATAAGTATTAAATTAATAACATGTGTAAATATAAATTTAGTGAAGATGTACTCTAGATAAGCGACAATTTTCATAATCATTATTTTTTAAATTTTTTGATTTTTGTTGACGAAATAA